CTATCAAATACTACTACAAGTATCATATCTCTACTACAATAAATAGGAAAACAGGGTCACATAGTAAAACTCATTTACCTTCTAGGTTGAAAAAACCCCACACCAACCCCCCCCCCCCCAAAAAAAAAAAAAAAAAAACCCAACAAAACAACAACAACCCAGCAGTCCACTAAATGTGAGATCTTTGCGGGAACGCGTTTTTAAAAAAAAACGAATGAAGTTACTTGACTATGACGCTGTTGCATACCTTACTCTTGATATGATTTGGTTTGAGAGTGATCAGAAGGAAAATCGAAAAAAAGCTGTATTAATCCGTTATTGTAGCAGATATGGGTGTTTTATGTTCCTATTGACACGCGTTAGGTAGGAGGCATGGCTTCAACCCTGCCTGTCAGGGCTAACCCAGGTTGAGAGAGATACAACCCAGCAGAAAGAACAAAATATTAGATAAAGATTCTGCCCACTCGGAAATCGAACTCGGTTCTCCTGCTTGACACAGTGAATGTAACCACCCACTCCACCGCAAACGCCGGTTAGTTGGTCTCTGATCTTACACATTTTTTATAGTTCTACTTTACGAGTTTCGCTTAGCGTTGGTGACATGAGCCTTTTCTCCATCATATGTAACGGCCAGACATACGCCTCCACTCTCGCTTAATGACCCTGCATTCAACCGTCGTCAATGATTAATCAATACGTTTTATTTATCTGTATTGCTTAACAAATGGCGTCTTTTCCTGTGTCTTAATTCTTTTCCACTTTTATCGATTTCTTTTTCCAGTAGTAATGTTCGCTTTCTATGAATTATGCAAAGGACAGACCGATCAACTATAATTGTACGGAAGACCGATCCCATCCATATTCGAGGAGTTAAGCTACGTATGTATTCAAGAGCATAACTACACTTTACACCCATTTAAAGGGCGGAGTGAGGACACGACAAGTAAGTCTCTTTTCTTTCTTCATTGACAATCATTGTTACAAGCGTGTAAAACAGATGTTCTATACCAGCGGGGAATGGGTGTGAAAAACGTTCCTGCCAAAATAATATATACCTTTTCACCTGGTCAAGCTAGTTAAAACCTTCAGTGCCACTTTTTTTCAACTAGCGACTAAAGGTGAAAAAAGAAACGTGTGAAAAACCTTGGATTCATTTAATTAAATTTGGGGACTTGGTGTACTATTAGACTGGTAATGAAAACTCGTACTAATATTCTACCTCCCCACGCCAGGAATATCATAAACAGAATCCTTCCTTAACACATGGATTTTGAGACCAACAGCTATTTGAACTCGGCATAGGGACTTCACCATCAAAGGTATCCAAGTGTTGTTAGAGCTGTATGTTCCCAGCAACAGTGGTCTTAACTCCGTCACTGACAAAATTGTTTCATAGTCTCACCAAAGGTTAGGCAGTGAGAGACTTAGAGGCTACGCTACAAGGCAGAGTATAGGTTAGTGTTGCTTGGTGCTTTCTGTGGTTTTCTGGTCTCAAGTTGCGTGTGACGTCATCAAGTCCCCAGTGCGTTTTTGTGGTTCAGAAAATTGCATGTGGGGCATCGTGGTGAAATCACGCGCTCGTCAAAATAATGAAATCGAAGAAACCGACTTTTTCGACACACTTTTTATCGATTTATTTTCACTCAATACATTTTATGTACATTTAAAATCACACCTCTGTGTGAATTTTACTGAGATAAAATGTTGATCAAAGACACAGAAATGTAAATTAATTGCAGTTTCAATGGGCACTCAAGCCTTGGAAGTTACCAAACGTTGGCGGCCATTTTTCGTTAATTTTACCTCTAACACCAAACAACCCCCTCCTTCTTCAGTTGCAAATACCTCGACTTTTGTTCAAGATAGATGGGTATTGTTTTTTCATCAAAAACAGTACAAATGAGAAAAAAAGATGATATCAATAACTTCACACTATGCCCCAAAATTGACGAGCGACTGATTCTACCGTATTGTGACACAAATGTAATCGCCATGTTCTCTGTCACTGCTTATGTTGGGATTTTAGATATTCATGATTTTTTTTCCTTACAAAGCAACACGCACACGCCAAAGCTTTTCGATGGCCCCTATCAACACCATTAGGCCATTTAAGAGACAGGACCTCCGAATTTAACGTCAGTCTCCGACAGGACTGAGCAAAATAGTTTGAGAGCCTTGAAAACACCACAAAAGGATCTGATTTTTAAAAACACGCCCAGTCTGGGATTCGAACAAGGACCATCTGCTTCGCAGTCCAACATGATACTGACTGTAACTGACTCAGTTAACGGAGATCCCACGTACGCTTTTCTCTTTCACATTATGACAATATTCCATGTTACCCATTCATTCATAGAAGGAGGACTTTCTTTGGGGCAATATCCCCAAGGAAGGGGATTCAAGACGTTCTGTATCCTTTGATATTTCCAAAATATTAATTGTAATCTTTTGTATTTATTGTTCTGTTGTTTTCTTTTGTTTTGTTTAGTTTAGGTTTGTTTTGTTTTGAGAAAGTGTTCAGTTTTTTCCCTTAATTATTTCAATCGACCTTTTCCTTTTTCACTTCGAAGTGTGATTTTTTACATGATCTTTAATAGAATTTTTAATTTGTATTGCATGTTACGAGTTGCAATTATTTTGGACTATGACATCAACACCTTGAAATGCCTAAGTTGAGGCAGGCTCCCAAATGGTCGCTTTTAGGCACAAGGGGGCTATCCTGAAAAAATGCTGTTTTGAGAAAAAGAAAACCAATACAGTTGTGCTTCCTGAAGCCTTACGAGACCCGTGGAGTGCCGTAAGGAGCGTGGTTCTGAATGTGTCCCGGTTCAGTTAAGTAATTTTCAAATTGACAACAAGAAATCAGAGAGCTGGAGGAATCAATTCACGGAATAATATATTTTTTTAAGGCCTGGACTCCACTTGGAACGGAACCTAAAGTTGTCTCAACGGTCAAGTTCGTAAAGAACTGTGGCATAAAAGTAGTGTACTTACATTTAATTCAAGTTGACTACTTGGTCCTTTTGAAAAAATCTTGTTTGTCCAGGGTGGAGGGGGAGGGGTGGGGGTAAAAACAAGGGATATCCTCAACAAAAGAGTAGACCTACTGCTCCAACTCTTCATTTCAGGAAGAAAGGAATAAACATGTGTGTCCAGATGGTTCTGCGTAATGTAAAACTTGATTAAGTCTACTCTGCTTTCTTCTTTATTTTTCTTTTTTCTTTTTTCTATTTCTGCATTTTTTCTTCCTTCCCGTATCCTTTGTTTTCTTTCCTTTTCTTTTTTTTCCTTTCTCTATCAGAGTCATGGATTACGGTTTTAAAATGAGCAAATTGTTCCTGGTACGGTGGTAGATTCCCATTAAAAATTGCAAATAGAGTAACAGAATAATAAGATAATTGAATAATGGAATAACAGAATAATAATACAAATAGTATTATGTTCTCTCAGTATCTATTATGTTCTCTTAAGGGGGGGGGGAGGGGGGGTACACCCCAAAGTCAAGATTCGGCTCAAAATTATGGAATTTGAGTGGTAGGCATTTTTAGCTTCCTCAGCCACTCCTACAACTATTTCATCGCATAAGAACCCCCCAAAAAATCGTATTTTTTCACATACCGGGCATGTTTCTCACCGCCATTTCCTCATAAAATCAATATTTTATTTTTCTTTATCGGCGTTTTCTCAAAACGCGACTTTTCTCTATACTGTTTTGAATAACTCCATCACTTTCCATCCAACCTTCATGAAATTTTCACCGAATGAAGAGAAGATGTAATACAAAAAATTTGTCAATTGAATTTTTGATATATGGAATAGATTTTTGTTGGTGGTGTCTGGAGTGTGGATTTTCATGGATTTTTTGCAAACTTGAATGCTACCTCAGGAAAAAATTCATTAAAAATTTTCTAATTCGTTTAGGAAAAAAACAACAGACAAATTTTTAGATCTAATGTTTGTTAACACGCATGCAAACCCCCCCCCCCCCCCAAAAAAAACAAAAAAAAAACAATCCATTTCCATAAGCGACAAGTGCGGTATTCATTACGTATGACATGTCAACAAAATCCAATATGGCCGCCGTATCCATGGAAACAAGATTTTTTCTCAAATTTGACTGCGGATTAAAAAACTCCTTACTTTGCTTGTTATGTGTGTGAAATGTGGTAAAATTTAGTCCAGTAATAAGCGAGATAGCCTTCAGGTGTAACCCCCCCCCCCCCCCCCCCACCTTAATATCGTTTATTTATGCTGTTCTGTTCTGTAACAATATATGATTGTGTCATGTCATCAATGTGTACAAGGGTGTCTCGGTAAGTTTTATGGATTGTATTTACTCAAGGATGCACTGGAGAGAGAGAGAGAGAGAGAGAGAGAGAGAGAGAGACAGAGAGACAGAGAGACAGAGAGACAGAGAGACAGAGAGACAGAGAGACAGAGAGAGGGAGGGAGAGAGACAGAGACAGAGACAGAGAGACAGAGACTGCGTGAGAGAGAGAGAGAGAGAGAGAGAGAGAGAGAGAGACAGAGAGACAGAGAGAGAGAGAAAGAGAGAGAGAGAGAGGGAAAGAGAGAGAGTGACAGACAGACCGACAGACAGACAGACAGGCAGACGGGCAGAGAAACAGAGACTGCGTGAGAGAGAGAAAGAGACAGAGACAGAGAGAGAGAGGGAGAGAGAGAAGGAGAGAGAGAGAGAGAGAGAGAGAGAGAGAGAGAGAGAGAGAGAGAGAGGGGGGGGAGAAAGACTGACAGACAGAGAGACAGAGACTGCGTGAGAGAAGAGAGAAAGAGAGAGAGACAGAGAGAGAGGGAGAGAGAGAGAGAGAGAGAGAGAGAGAGAGAGAGAGAGAGAGAGAGAGAGAGAGAGAGAGGATTACTATAGGAACTGAGACCTGCATATGTTCTATGTATTATTGTACAGTGCACTGAGCACTTTTTTGTGGAAATGAGCTATACAAATGCTATTTACTTTATTATTTTATCTTCGTTAAAATTATTGTTCTCCCTCTTTTTGTCTCCAAAATAGTAAGCAGGTTGAACAAACTCTGCTGAGTTCATTGCACACTTCTCTAAACGAAGAGTAGCCGACATGGGAGCGAATGTGTCTTTGGAAAAGTATCCAACAGTTCCCGAACGATTGCGCGTGCTGGCACAGGAAGTTCCAGACAGGGAGCTCTTCATCTTTCACGGACCGGAAGGACGAAAGTCGCTCACAGCACAGGAAGTCTACACCCTGGGCGGGGTTTTCGCGTCGCGGCTGCGCAGCTACGGCTTCCGGAAGCGTGACGTCATTGCTAATATGCTGCCAAACTGTCCGGAGCGTTTGATTTCCGACGTGGGGATTATCCTGGCCGGCTGTGTCACAATGAACGGACAGGTAGATCCCAGGGGATACATCTGTGTTACGACACGGTGGAACCAGGCGCTCGTCAATGTTTGGGCATAGGGAGTTATTGGTATAGTCTTAAAGCCGATTGATTTGTTTTACTTCTTATGAAAAAAAATACTCATCTAAATTAAATAAAAGTTGAGATATTTGCTATTGAAAGAGTTGGAAGCCGCCTGGTTCCTGAGGTAAAATTGGCGAGAACATGGCAGCCAAAGTTTGATGATTTCCGAAACTGTGGTGTTCTTAGAAACTTCAAATTTACATTTTTTGTTCCATTAATCGATGTTTTTCAGCATTGCCATTTTTATCAGTTTATCCCTCTAATTTTACCCCAGACACAAGGCGACCGCCATAACTTTCAATCGTTAATATCTCGACTTATATTCGGGATAGAAGGGTATTTTTTCATCAAAAGCAAGGCAAACGATCAGGCCTTAAGATCATACCAGTAACTCCATATGCCCAAAAAATGATGCGCATCTGATTCCTCCATTTGGTCACACACACGCACGCACGCACACAC